GGGGCACGATGCGGTTCTTCTTGTTGTCGCGCGCGGCGTTGCCCGACAGCTCCAGCACCTCGGCGGCGAGGTACTCAAGCACGGCGGCCAGGTAGACGGGCGCGCCTGCACCGACACGGGTGGCGTACCGGCCTTTCTTCAGGTAGCGGGCGATACGGCCCACGGGGAACTGCAGCCCTGTTGAGTTGCAAGGTGGGAGAAGGATGGATGGGGTGAGCGCATGCATAGTGCGCGCACGAGGCACCAATCCAGGTGCCACAGCAGCCCCAAGGGTGCAGCAAGGGTCCCAAAGGTGCACTGCCGGTTCTGCTCGGTGCCCTGCCTGACACTGTTGCGGCCAGAGTCAACAATGCCAGCAGCTGCGCCACCCCGCCCCCTGCGTCACACAGACCGTATGGCAACCGCCCGGGTACCCCAATCGAGCCTCTCACCGGCCTTGGAGCTGCGGGACACCGGCTTCTTGCCCGACTTGCCCTTGCCGCGGCCCGACATGGTTCAGTTGTTTGGTTGTCCGGGTGTGTGGATTGCGAGGTGTTTGAGTGTGCGAGGGAGAACGTCTGTATGAGACGGCCTGTTGGCGGACCTTATGAAGGGAACTGAGGCGAGACAGCTTCGTGCTGCCTTCCCAAGCGGGACTCTGAGCTTGGTGGGCAGCTGCCTGAAGCTGCTGCTCTTGATTGCCCCCACATAAGGCCCTCGCTCAACGTCTAACGTTTCATACGCGCTCACTGCCACCCATCACCACCTCAATCCTCAAGCAAACCAGCAGTCATGGCCCCCAAGGTCGGCGAGAAGGGTCCCGCGAAGAAGGGCCCGGCCAAGAAGGCCGCGGACGGCAAGGCCAAGAAGAAGAAGGTCTCCAAGGCCGAGACCTACAAGATCTACATCTACAGTGAGCGCCTGCAGGGGGGTTGGGAGTTGCCGCGGTTTGAGCGGGCATGTGGTGGTGGTGCTCAACAACAGGGAGGGGGGAGCAGCAGCGCACTTGCCGCAGCAGCGGCCGACTGTTTCTCAGCGGCAGAGCAGACTTGCGTGGTTGGAGCAGATTGGCTTGCCTGCTGGTGGTTGACAACGCCCCTGGTCTGACCATGTCCCTTGATGGCATCCCCCCGCATCCCCTCCCCCCT